TTTTTACAATCTGATAATAGAAAAATAAATTGGACTTGATTGTTTTTTACTGATGTGAAACAGTAGTCTAAATTATGACAAATATTTCTCTTGTCCATGTAATACATAAAAAAATTAGTTTATCATATGTTTGCTATGTATTTTTTATCTTTACACACTGTCACAATACACTAAAAATGTACAAAATTAAACTTAACATAAACATGAACCTGTAAATGAGTATAATAGATTTTGACAATGAATAAATAGTCACTAGACATTGAAAATTTATCACAAGGAGGTTTAGGTTTTCCCAAGAATGACAAACTGTCCTATAAAATTTGCAAGTCCAACTAGAATAAGAAACGAGTGAAACACAATAACAGGGACCGAGAGCTTGCCCTGCTCTCGTAACGTCTTCATGTGGACCAGACAGGGAAGAAGAATGGCGTACGAGAATCCACAAAAAGCTCCTACAAACCTGTTATAAAAGTTAATAGAAGAAGTCAAATTTACACACAATTCATTTACAGTTTACTGTACATACAGGGATATTTTCACTGGTCCCCCATTTTATTTCACTCCTTTTATCCTAACCTCAGTCGAGCAAATTCAAAATGGAGAGAAGTCAAAGAACCATGACTGGGCAAATTTAAAATGAAAGGGTGAAAATAAGCCTGTTTACAGTACGAGTATCAGAACAATATTTTAATCAAAGTTTGCTTTCACAGTGGTCTGGTTAAATTATTCATCAATTCAAATTCTTAAAAAATATAATAAGTTCTGCTCAGCAAACTATGAAAAGGTAATAAAGTTTACAGCAATGAACATTTTTTGGTTAAAGCTATATATGCCGTATTAGTGTTTTATTTTAAAAGTAATATATGTGGTGTCGCATCAAGTTATATAAGTTATATACTTTCTGCAAATAAAACAATTCCACTCCATCACTTTTAAAAGTTATGAAATATTATTTGGTAAAAATTATTTTCTTTCCGTGTCGGATAAAAAACCGCCTCTTATTGAAATATTCATGATCACGTTGTCTCGCATGTTTACAGCAAACAATGGTCCAACCTCGTGAATGAACTGAAAAGCATGATGGTCTACTACGTTTTTACTACAAACACGTGAGTTAGGGATTGTCAATATTGAGAGCACCTCAGAGTTGGTTGCTTTTTTGTACCGAGAAATAATCACGTGCAATTGTCTTTTGGACATTTTCGGTTGGGTGAACTTCTACAGCTGTCAGCGACTATGGATAAAGAAGTGTGGAAACCATGTTGTGCCAAAATAAAATAACCAATACAAACAAATGATATAATTTGATCAATCAAAATGGTTATTAGATACTAGTACATTCGATTCTCCATTTCTCAATGGTTCAAAACAACAAAAAGTATTCCACGGAATATCATGTATAAATCTGCACAATATACCGAATGCCAAAACCAGAATACTACTATATAATACAATTGTATTCTTTACGTATGAACCACAGTATTTCTGACCCCTTGAAAATAAAATAAAAAATCTTGCAAGTAGGTTACGTATCAGCATTGGCTCGGGCTAATCCGATGCTACCTACCTGAATTGATTTTTCTTAATGGTGTTCATCGAAATGCTTGGTTATGCCCTCAAACTGGAATAGCTTTTAGAGGCCTGGAATTCCTTGACCAATTTTATTTTATTAGCCCAACTATATTTCTAAGAAGGCAAGATGTATGGTATGTAAGTTTCATCTAAATATGTTATGTAGTTCATATTAAAAAACCAAAAGGGATAATTGACGATATCCCATTCAGGGTGTAAACATAGCAGTTTAAATTACTTTCCATACATTGTATTTGACATAAAATATCTTTTGCGCATAATGCGCTCCATACTGAAGATCTGTAAATGTTCACCCAACCCAAAATGTCCACTAGCAGTACAGCACAGGGAAACTCTATACAAACGGACCTGTACAATGGAGTGGGGAAAACTTTAATTTTCATCATTGTTAATCATTTGTATGCAAATATGAGCATGGGATTAGTAGATAATAATGTACATAATGCATCAAGTCCTTCTGAGAGCGATTTAAAAAACTAGCCTTTTTGAAAAACACATGTAGTATTTTATGTAGTAACCCATAAATGCATTAAATGCAACTCATTGAGCTGATTGGTCTGTTTGTGTCCCTCAATGAACAGACGTCACAAAAAATATTTTCCTCGACCTGATGATTCTCGCGATGCTTTTCCCACGCACATGCGCAGATCCAGGATAAACGTCTGTCCTTTATAAATATGTATGAGAATATCGTGTTCTTTTCCTGACCATTACTTTGTTAATATCGAATAAATTTTCGTCGAATTTGCAAGAATGCTTCATTTTTGGTAGCTTATCATACTCCTGAAATTTTTGTTCGGTTTCAGCTGTGCAAATATACTGTTTAACACGGCATACATATCTTTAAGAAACATAAATTGTTACAAAATGTTCAAGGGGGAATAATTTGACAGATAAGATGCTTCTTCATATATAAGTCATTTAACACTTTACTCAATCTAATTAAAATTAGATGCTAGATCTCCTGCATAATAGCTACACTAACATCTAACAACATTTCATTGAGGGTCATGTCAAAGGTCAAATTCTATCGACCAATCAAATCGTTGCCTGCGCCTGCAAAATTATCATATATTTGTTGAAGCGAATAAGTCTTGCAGAGTTGTTTCGAATATGACCTCTGACGTGACCCTCTATGGGATGTTGTTAAATGTTAGTGTAGTGAGTATACAAGTGGATCTAACATCTTATTTTAATTAGATTGCATCTTACCCTATGATGCTTCCAATGTGAGGTAAAAATACAGCAAAAACAACGCAAATGGCAACTAGAACTAGATTTAGGACAAGAACATGCTTCACACTAAAAGAGAGAAAATATAGAATACATGTAAATACATTTAAACACCTTACTATGGAAACACTGGACCAACTTTAAACTTTAGAAAGAAGTTATCTAAATATTTCCAACAAAGATTCTCAAACCATTTCATTTTTTTCCAGAGTAGATAAAGTAGAAACAAGCAAACAATAATGTACATGTAAGTCTGTATTTTGTTACCTTGGCCAGACATCCCCAAACAAAGAGAAGAGAAGCTGAGCTCGGAATATGTACAGTAACAGAGGAAACACACAGACCATCTGAAAAAACAAACCGATCCGCGCCACGAAAGCCAGCGTGTCTGTGTCAGCTATGTTGTTCAGGAGATTCTGATTAAGGAAAAAAACATGATTGCACTACAAACAGTCAGGGACAAAACTAAAGCAAGGCCATTCAGTATAAAGCAACATTTCCATGTAATTAAGGTAAGATGCCTGCTTCCTAGCATTCAATAAATTGATTAATTTAAAGTATTTTAAGACATTCAAAATTCAAATAGTCATGAAAATGGGTTTAAAATAATATAAAATATAATTATATAATTGTATTGTATTGTTTATACATGTATTATCTTTCCTCTAACCCATTGATAATTTCTTACATCTTCTATGCAGTCCTTGTTAAGTGGAAATGAAGAATAAAACATAACTCCCATATAAATGTAGGTCACTGCCACCAATGTGTACGCAATGGTGAGATCTCGTATCTACCAAAATAAAGTAGTACAGACTGAATAAGATTTTAATGAAAATTACATTAAAATGCTAAAAAAAATCTCTGTTTAAATGAAGTACACAACATCTGGTATTTGGCCAGGGCATAAAAATTTATATAAATTTCTTTTTACCTCAAACTTTGGAGTTTTAAATATTATCATGACTTCCTTTTTTTACCTCAGTGTAGAGTATTTTATACATACATTGTTTTCTGGGTGTTTTTGGTTCCTACAAATGGAGATGACACAGTTCTGTACAAAATAAGCCAAAGCGGCCACCCCTGTCAAAGCAGCAAAGGTACCTCGAAACTCTGAAATATACACATACATGTAGAATGTCAAAGTAACAAAGGTGCCCTGAAACTCTGAAATACATGTATGTATACATGTAGAATGTCAAAGTAGCAAAGATACAAGAAAAAACTCTTTAATTTTCATTGTAGATTCACATCTTACCTATTAATTACCTGTACTAACCTTTAGAAAGTTTTGATACACTTACACAATACACAAAAGATGTAAATGTACTACCTTTTAAAAAGACTATATGACATGCCAGGGTTCGAAATTAACTCATGTCCGTAAGTCCGAGACTAGTAAAAATTGTGTCGGACTAGCAGATTTTGTAAGGTACTAGTCCGTACGGACTAGTGCAAATCCGGATATAAGTCTTAAATCGGTTCACATTTTATTAATTTTATTTCCGAATCTCTCAGACGTTTGAAAATAAACGAGAAACGCAACTGCGATAAAGGGTTTTCTACATTGTGATCGATAGAAAAAGACGTGATCATGTGGAGATTTCTGAAAGTTGAAAACCCTCTTTCTTTCACCACATGCTTTCAACTGATGTGTGGACATCTATTTCATTGAATAAATTGATAAAATTTTAAGATTTGTGTTATTCTTTTTACATATTAGTGGGCGGACTAGTGGAATAGTTTGCGGACTAGTGGAAGCTAGAAGTCACTAGTCCGTGCGGACTAGTGCTAAAAAAAGTTAATTTCGAACCCAGCATGCACTTTCTTAAACTTAAAAAATACACAATACATGTACAATTCCAAAGTCCTCTACATGGAGGAAATGATCAGAACAAATACCTGGAATGTAAATATGATAAGGATCATCTGAAATTTCCTCTCCCCCAAATTTCAGGTTGAATCCCCACTGGTGAGCATTGTAGGCCACAAAGGAAACAAGGTAGGTGACAGAAAGGGTACCTGTTGTAAACAAACAGACAATGAGACGATTACACTGGTCAAAATACCTGATGTGAAAAACAGATGCTGAGAATGTAACAATAATTTTAATATACAAACATATTCTTTAATTCTTGAAAATTGTAAGTCTGTAACATACAACAATGTAAACAAATTCTGGTGTCTTTAATCAGTCAACACGACTGAAAAAATAAGTTTATCCCCCCCCCCAACCCCAAGTGCCCCAAAGAGAAAAAATTACCATTTTGATAAGGTTTCCAAAACCATGCAAATTTAATTAAAAAAAGACATTTTGAAAGTGAAAGATTAGCTGCAATAATGTAGCCCTCTCCGATTTTTTTTAATCTGATGTTTTCTGGAGAGGGCTACAATTCCATCGCATCTCCGTAATGGTGCAAATATTTTTTTTTAATAGGAGCGACTGCAGGCAAAATAAATTATTTTTACATTCAACTTACTTCTAATAAGACGATTTTTTTATTCACTGTCAACAGTAGACCCCGTTAAATGCGAAAAACTTGTAAAATAACTCTGCATGTTTCCTAGTAGTTTACTTCAGCAGCCATGACAGTTCACGCGTGACGTAATGAGACTTTCGCTTCAAATTTAGAACAACTGAATTAAGCAATTATCGGTGTTTATAAATGTATGTGCTGAATTTCATCACAAAAAAATAGGTATATAAAACCATTTTAAGTGTTATTTTTATGCAAGCAGCGATATTTATGTTTAAAATAAGGGAATTCCAAAAAGATCCGCTCCTATAGAACCTAAATTCTCATTGGCTGTCCCAAAATACAATCTATCAAGGTCAGTAAACATGGCGGATAAATTCGAGTTGTGATGTTGACATACACGAAAAATAAGCGATATAGGGATCTTTCTGTATATTTTTGCATTGGTTTACGTCTTGGATGACTACTTATTTGGAGTCAAGGTAAGAAATGTTAATAAAATAGCCATTTACTGTTAATTTGAGCCGAAATTGCGGGAAAATCACTCCCGAGCTGCACCCTTATAGAGATCCTAAGGAGTTGTAGCCCTCTCCCCAAAAAAAAAAAAAAAAGAGGGAGAGGGCTACATTATTGCAGCTAGTGAAAGATATGCACAGTATACTCTTGTCCTTACCAAGTGCATTAAATTTGGTGAAGAAGGTGGGAGATTTAAAGTTGATGAGGGGAGCTAACACACAGACTAGAAAAAATGGCACTGTGTACTGCTCATCCCATACTCTGTCATATGTTGATTCATGTGAATGATCCGAGAGCAGCCATTGGTGATTACTATAGCTACTGGGTGATAAGCTGTGGTTACTATGGTTACCATGTGATGGTGGAGACATTGATGGACAAACTAAAAAATAAAACAATTTTACACAGTCATTTAATACTAAAATCAACATTACCGGGTATGTAATGATTCTCCTTTCAATACATACATGAACCTTCTTTCCGTAAGGTATGTCATTTTTGGGTACAATTTAATAATATATTTACAATATTTTTGAATTACTGAATGTGGTTGAAGTTAACTGAAAATTATCAGCCAACCGAGGCACGGCAGGGTTGACAGTGGTTTTCAAGAAATGAAAATTGTAATTTCAAATGTTACCCTCATTCTAAATAAAAATCAAGGTGAAGCAGGCATAGATTTCAAAGAATCAATTCTTTTTCTGGGAAATGACCCATCAACAATCAATATTGACTACTGCTAAGTTCTTTTGTGCTGGAGCATGGTTTCATCATTTAGAAGGTAAGAGCTTTTTGGCAAAAGTTTCTCAAGAAATTAAACTAAATGAATATTGTATTTTATTTCTATTTATTTTCTGTTAACCATGACTGTGATGACTTGAACTTGTACTTACTATAGTTTGTTGTATTTGAAACATGATTATGAGGTGAAGTACTGTGGTCTGCAAAGACAAGATACACATGTAGTTATTTTATTCATGTACATGTGTATTTTAAATGTTATCAAACAAAGATATAATAATCAATAAAATAAACAAACTACTGTTAAAATGCTTTCAGAATCAATAATAATAAAGCTCAACTGTTTAAAAGTTTGGCCGTCTATGTCAACAAAATAATGTAAACTCATCAGAGAGAGAGAGAGAGAGAGAACTGTATCCTGAATAACTTACGATAGATGAAGTTGACAACATTGTAGATGAAGTTGGACATGAGGATCCAGTAGACAATTGCCCCGCCCATCAGAGTAAGGAGGGAGGAGACCACCGCCAGAACCTGGGCCCACCTCCCCAGGGACAAGCGACAAACGTCAGAAAAATCCAGGCCCGAGTCTGCCTTACCTGTCATAACAGTACACAGCATTGATGAAGTAAATCACCAGTCCATATCTTACAATAAAATACAATTACATTATTTTTTTATTATTATTTACTTGTTTGTTTTGAACATATTTTATTGACTATATGTCAAAGGGTTGGATAAAAGTTCAAAAAACTTAATCCTTAATTTACATGTATCATGAGCGAAATAAAGTTTCATGGCCCAGTTTTAATTTTAATAATAAATCTCAGACCATGTGGACTGACTCACCCATAGACTGCATGGCCTTAAGGATTCTGTAACTTGTATAAAACATTAACATGGCCATCAGCACCAAAAGGGAAATCCCAGTCACAAATCCCGCCTAAAAATAGATCATAATCCATTGATAATCACAGAAGAACAAAACTATTGCCACAGTATATACAAAGTTGTAATAAAATAAATGTAAATAGTAGATCAAACTTGTACCTGTCTGATGGCCCAGGGCATGCTCAGTATTGAGGTCCCCATCATTGTGTTCCATAACGAGAACCTAAAAATACCACACACAGGGAACTGGTTAATACGGTAAATTAAACAACTCTGATAGATATAGAACCAATACATGTAAATTTATTAAAACAAAAGTATTTTCCATTAATATAAGTACAGATAGTGGGAGGAGAGAAAGAGACAGAGATTACAAAAGGAAACATGAGATGGTTGTGAAACACTTAGGGAAGGAATTTTTCTTAAAAAACTCTGTTAAAAATGACATAAAAGATCCAAATTTCATAAGGTGTGAACCACTTTGATCTAAATCTCTACAGCAAAGTACTGTATCTCCAAATGGGGGCATTAACATATATTTTAAAATTGGACCTCTAGATATTAACTTTGAAGTACAAGTAATACATTTGTAGTATATAGATTTTTACTAAGGAGACTCTGTACTTAGTCTTATTGTTTATTTATATCGACCACAACTTACACAGTTATGAGACTGCTTTGCTTCCCCTGAGTAATTACAGGAATGACAATGTGGAAATCAGGGGGCACCACATGGTCCGGCATTTGCTTAAAAAACAGAAAAATCAGTTTAAGTTAATCATAACACTGAAAGATGTAGCCATGGTTACTTAAAATGAAATACTTTCAAAATGCTACTCCTCCTATATTTTTGGTCTGATTAAAATATAACTTGGAACACAAGTAGACTACACAATTAAAGATACATAATTCTCTTTCTTGCTGTGACAAATTTTCAAATTCCAGAGCTTCTTTTCTCTTCCATTGTTATAAGTACAAACCAGTAGAGCTACAGTCTCATCAGAGACTTCTGGTTTATCCCCTCACAGAATTAATTAGAAGGAATGCAATAAGGCCTAGAAAAAAAATATGTTTGTTTCCGCTTTCAGGCTGAAAAAATATAGGGTAGGTAGGTAGGCAATTTTTTTTTTTTTCTGAAATTTTTTTTTTGTTGCTGTCTTTAATCAAAACATGTATATATTTAAATATTACATTCAAAAGAAATGGTTTTTCAAGCATTTCATACCAAAGTGGTCACAGTAAACTTATAACAAAAGGTTAAAAGCTTGCAAAGTTGGAAATCTCATGGCATTCCCTGGGTAAAATCTTGCACTTCCTGGGATTAAAGTATATAAAAAAACTTTTTTTAGGGTCATTACAATAAGATTTTATTTCAAGATGTAAAGTTTTAAACAAACATATTTTTTTTCTAGGCCTAAGTGATGACAAAAATTTTCAGCTTACAAATGAGCTCTCGCTGTGTGGAGCAAGTCGGCCGTAATATCTGTATCTAATGAGGACGCCAGTCGTGGATCCTCCATCGTGATTATTGCTGTCTGATAAGGAACCAAAATGGACGGGTTGTCTGAAAACCACAATATAATGTATTTACAATTTACATTCACAAATTCTTTTATTTCAAATAATACAGACCAAAGGTATAGGTTGTAAAAATGTTATTATTAAAATAGTCTGCATTGTTTTCATGTAATTAAATCCTAAACAAGTCATTGTTGTTGCAACTTTTTCTATAATACTCTATTGAATAACATGTATATACCGGTACAAATAACTTTTTTGAAACTCATTTTCAAAAAGATTTCATTTCAAGATGTAATTACTTTTAAATGGAACAGATTAATTCACTGGCCATTGGCCATTTGGTTATTTAGCAAAGAAATGAACATTTTTGATACAAATTGATTTTTTAGTACACACCTTCTCCTTTCTGCTTGATCGGGTGGTGATCTGTAAAAAGGATTCAAAGTAAAGTGAGAATAAACATGATAAGGCTTAGAAATGACACTTCATATTGGAGGTCCAATGAGACAAGTTTCTTCTTTGAGTTTTAAATTTGTTTGGCAGAAATATAAAGGAAAATATCTATCTTTAAAATACTTAATACTGTAAAAAGGATTCATAGCGAAGTAAGAATAAAGCCTGAGAAATGGTGCTTCATATTGGAGGTCCAATGAGTGAATTTCTTCTTTAAGTAACCATTTTTAAATTTGTATGTCAGAAATATAAGGGCATATATCTTTAAAGTGCTAAAAGGGAAGATTTATGCAAACAAATTTGTAAGAAAAATTGTGTTATCTTTACCCAATTGCCCAGTAATGACCATAATGGAAACCAATTGGAAAAAAACTCTTGCTAAAATTGTGTCTATTGGAAAACTGTTTCAACATTTTCAAATCTTTTCTGTATTTGTTGGTAAGAATAATCTGTGTCTCAGGACATGCCATCACCACACTGATAAACAGGTCCATGGCACATTTATCATTTTCTTTCTAGTGTATCTGTATACAGAACACAGCACTGGTTTTTGTACTTTTTTTTCAGATGGACAAGTGAATTTTTCAGTTAATGTTAATTCTGTTAAAATACTTTGGTGTTAGCATAAACAAATAATAATTTAAATTCCTCCAAAATAATACTGTATATTGTCGTTAAGGCCACATAAATTTAAAATTTATTGATTCTCATCCTTATTTGCTGAAAAAAAAAAATTAGGGTGGTTCGGAGTCTGCATTTAGCTCTCTCCTTCCCATGGCTATTTGATCACAAAAAGTGTCGTAATCTTGAATTTTTATGCCTCTATATTGTGATATCATGTTTAGCCAATGACAATATTTGTTTCCATTGCAATCAGTCTAATTAAAACCAGCCCCCTTCTCCTTTCATTTGTCAGGACGCATGAAAGGAGTAAGGGTTGGTTTTAATCAGACTGCATTGCAATTGAAATCAACAAATGACATCAATAGTATACAAGTAATATTTTCTATGCGGGGACTGAATATTGAAGGGTCACGACAAAGTTTATTATCCCACAAACATTTACTGGCATTGCCAGTCAATTTAATGAGCAACTAAAAATTTTCTCATTCAACCCCAGCCAGAATGGGAGAGGATGGTACATTTTAGCCGTGTTTTGCAATGATGTCATAATACATGAAAATCCTTTTGATACCCAAAAAGCAAATATATACAATGGGACAGGGCACACTGAGAGGGGCGGGCAGGGATGAAAATTGATCTAAAGAATAATATCACTTGCCCTGGTTTTTCAGTTTCTAACCTACGTTTCTTAAACGCTATACATTAATGGAATACAATTGCAAGATAAATATCACTCTGATATTACCGTGCAAATTTAAAAACTTAAATAAACAACTACTAAAAGACACGTGATAAAGATCAAGTTGAACAGCTGATTGGACAGTCTGCTACCTCTCCCCCCTTTTACGGTGGTTCCTCTTTGATAATTAGCTCGTACCTGTTATTTATCGATGTATTTTGAGAACTGCCACTTCTTTTTAAGAGCGGATCCTCTTCTCCAGGTTCCCCATTAATCGACATTCCTCAAAATACACCTCCAAGTCTCTCGATCTGAACCAACAGACTATCACACATCTGTAACCGGAAGTGCTGCCCACTGTAGAAAGAAGTGAGAGTCGAGACCGGTGATTCACTTTTCTCCGATTATGGATTATATGTGAAGTGACTAGCTGATGACCTTTGTACATATTTTTAAGGGCTACACCGTACATATAAGAATCTTTGAATTATAAACATCATGTGGCTGTGATGAGTATTTCCTTTACAATAACTGCATTGCTTTACCTGTTTACACAGTCTAAGTGCATAGTCACAGTGCTCAAACTCTACAAATTAAAATAAATTATATATAAATACATGGGAAACATTCAAATTAATTACCACCCCCCCCCCTTTTGGTTGAAAATTGCTCCAAATCTGGTAAGCCCTCAGGTCGGCCCAATGAAGACTTCATTCAAACAATATTTATGTCCACATGTTGATGAATATTCCTACCCTCCAATTTTGACACGGGCACCTGAAACAGGGATAACATCCCCCCCCCTTTATGTAATAATCATATAAAATTAACTCTTAGTTAATGCAGAGACAAATATTATCCAGTATCACTATCCCACTGATGCATCAAATTATGGAGGATTCCATTTCTAGAATGTTAAAAGTTGAATCTATTAATTACCTGGTAATACAACTGTAATATGCATCCGAACACTCTTCTCTGTTAATTAAGAACATCTTTTCCATTATTACATAGACCAATAAGCAACTTAGTGATTCAATCTGACAGTATACATTTAGACACTCAGTGATATAAATTGTGTACACTTTTCTTGAGTAGAATGAGTGTTACATTTCTGTGGTTCACTCTTAGTATATAACCTGGACCTGTCCTGACGTGTCCTTCTCTTCATGTCACATGAAAATTACTCTTGATGTCCTCATCAGTATTTCACAAAGCTAGAGATTTTAGTAAAACTTTATTCACATAAAATGATTGGTATATAAAATGAGCATCTTAAAATTACAGAGAGCAAGTCCATCAAGTTACAGATTTATACAAACTATGGAGTTTTGTACAAGACATTCTGTAACTAAACAAACCCAGACACTGTGGAATAAAACACATGATTGCATTAAAATGTTCAAGATCTCACATACACAAAGTAACAAACATCTGAATCATCATTTATCGTCCATTTGTTGAATCTCATATAAATTACATTTAATTGGCATAATTCAAATCTCTATTTTATTTAAATAATTTCAAATAATTTTTTTTATGGCAATTTTACTCTAAAGGGAACACAGACGGCTACATAAATTGTAATACAAGTTCAGTATAATCAAACAATCACTATCCGGGATTCAGTGAGATCTGTGATGACTGATGGAGTAGGTAAAAGTCCTGCTTTTTTTCTGCTGCACTAAAAGTTTCTGACATTCACTGCTGCACTGTTGGTTGCTATGGTGATCTGAGTCATCAGGAAGCTTCCTCACTGGCCAGAAGTACCGTGTGCTGCCCGCCCCCACTCACTGCTATCACTTTCCTAAAAAAGAAACAATTTGCAACTTAATAAAAATTTTACAAAATTTTTTATACAATACATTGTATGTGTTATACATGTTAATATCTGTGATTAACAAATACCCTTTACTCAGCCCAAGTCGCAATTGTGGAAAAAAACTAGATATTGTTACAAATGATCTCTCTTTTAGTCATTTATATCCTCTGATAATATGTTCCCTTGTTCAAAGAATGAGATTCGAACACTCCTTCATTACAAATGATTAGACCTTATTAAACTTTTTAAAGCAGAATCACAATAGCCTACCCTTTTTGCCATACAAGATAATAATAATACATCACTAATTCAAATGACATACTCCTTAATCATACTATTTTATAACTAAGTGTAATTCAAAAGTCAGAAAGCAAGGGTAGGAAAGGCAAGGACAAAGAAACATTTACAATGTGACCCTCTACCCATCATCACCCCAGTCTTAGGACTTATAAGAAAGATAATATATTGCATATTTTCCTACCTGGTGCTGAGTTGTTTTCCCGTCATTTTCTGAGGCGTTGTAATGTCTTCATCTTCCCCAGACCCCAGTTGTTGACTGGTTCCCATACCCCATGCATACACTTCACCTGCAAGTACATGAATTTATAAGTTTGTGATTCAAATAAACTGTTCCATTTTCCCACTTTTTAATTTTCCTGGTATTTTACTGTCTTGTTCTATCTGACTGAGCAAGAACATGCTTGTTTACTCAATGACTAAGTATGGACCCTTTGTCCTATCCTTTATAGGAGGCCACCTCATAAGCTTTTTACAAAGGGGTGGGTTGGTTTTCTAAATAGATAATAACTGAGATAAAATTGAAATTATTGTACCTCTCAGACTCACAGAACTCAAAGCATAGATGACTGCCTTACTAGCTGTTTACGAGGGGGAGGGAGGGAGGGTGTAGATACAGACTGACTCACCAGCTGTTTAATGGAGGGGAGGTGACATAATTTACATAAAATTTACATTAACATACCTGATTCAGTAAGAGCATAGGATACTGCCTGTCCAGCTGCCACCTGTTTACACGGGGGAAGGTCCAGGACGGCGGGGATTCTCTTTTCCTCGTTGGAATCTCCATGTCCAAGTCTGCCATATTCTCCTCTCCCTACCGTGTACACCTTCCCTGAAACACCAACAAAAGAATTAGAGGAAATCAGATTTCCTTACACCATCATAATTATCATAAACAGAGTTTGTGTAACTGAAATCTGTGACTTTTGAGTGTTTTAAGATTCCTTCAAAAAGCAACTGGCACACAGGTAAATGGCCCTCTTACTATCAAAACAGAGAAATGTTCACTTAGGGCATTTTCTGGCCCTGTAAAAGTTCTTTCTGAAAAATGATAACTTATGTCTTTGAGTTGACAATTCAATGAGTATCAATTTGGCTTTATATCTATTTAAAATGACAAACATGTAACTTTCTAGCTTATTAATGCACTATGACATCATAATTGCATCATTATTCTCATATCCACTTTTATTAAAAGTTTTAGCATAATTTATATTTCTCTCTCAATTATTTAAACAAGAGGCCAAAATATAAAATTATAACAAGTGTTTAATTGTTTAAAGTGCCGTAATCAACACATGCTCACACATGTACCTTTTTAACTATGATTAACATGAAATAGTAACCTTCATGCTTTGAATTTGTTGTTGCCCCGAGGGGTGTTGAGATAACATTTGACCAGCGCACGTGTGTCAATTGTTTTCCTTACCAGCAGTGTCCTAAAATTAATATTTATTTTATTGTATTTCATTAAAAAATGATTTATTACTTTGCGTGGTGCATGTGCACTATCATTACGCATGACATAGCCATCGTAACTTTAACATCGGTAATGGCTCTCAGACATGTAAATTACTTTTAACTTACTTTTTCATGTTATTTTGGTATCGATTATGAAAGTGTTTTCAAGGTCAAAATATGAAATTGTTCCTGACAGAAATATACAACAAAACTTTGAATTGTTATAATCAAAACAAGGCTAGAAAGTATGGATAATATAGGAAAGTGAAAAAAATAATTCATTTCAGCAATGAAAACTTTCATTTATAAATCTGTTGATTTTAGCTCTTAGAGACTTAAAATATAGAAGATACAAAAAATGTTAATTGATATTCTACTTCTTTATCACTTCAAGCAATTTGTGCTCAAAACTCATTTCATTTTAGGTCTAGAAGTTTTTGTTAGGTTTACACAAGTAATCTACAGCTCAATTTCAAAATAGAATTAGTATTTCCATGTATTTCAAGTAACATTTTCTTATTATAAAGCCTTTCAATGTGTTTTCTGGATTATCTACTTACCTAGCTGATAGTAATTATTGAGACCCCAGGCGTACATTGCTCCGGTTTCTTTTTCTCGGGCGTATGACATGTACTGTCCACAAAACACATCATCAAACAACACTCTCTTCCGAGATTTATGTCGCAAACATCTAATAACACCTGGCTTTAATATATATTCTGCAAAAAAAAAAGCAAAAGGGTTTTTATTCAACATACATGTGAATTTAAATCTCAAAACTAACACTTAGAAATCAAGGTACAAGGGAGGTAATCCTAGAATTTATAAATTGATGATAAAACTGGTAGCAACACTTTAGTCTGTGTTCTATGTTTTTGTTATTGGAAAAAAGAAGTGAATCCTACCTAGACCTTTCCTTCCTCCTCGCACAGAAAAGCACTCTGCCACCCTTCCCAGCTGTCCTTGTTCAGCACACCCTATAAAATGATAAACGGTATAACAAACTGAAAAAGAATCTTAAAAGTCTAATTGTAGCTTTTCTAATTTCAGTCCATATATTGTTCTCTTTATTTAGAGTAGAGCTAAAAATCTTTATATTACTTCAAAATAAGGACAAATATCTTTAAATGTGTTTAAATGTCCTAATCATCTGGACATTTACAATCAACGTAATACTGAATAACGGGTCATTTTGGTGCTAAGAGAAGTGTGCCATTTTATCCATAAAGTGGCTATTTTAGGATAGTTAATTATTTATGAATTTAGTTATACATGTAATTAATATCTTGATTTTCTTACAAAATACTAATAACCAAATTCTTAGCAGCTAAAAAATGCCAAAATAGATCATCTCTAAATATTCCTTGTTGTATAATACTTCATTTGAAGTGTAAAGATCTTTTTTGGGGGTTAATACAATTAATAAAGATAAACATGGCTGGAGTACAGGTATACAAGCATTCTCACCACAGGAGTAGATCTCTCCCTTCTCTGTCAGACACAGAAGATGATCCCCGCCGGAGGCGATCTTGACGACGGTTTCCCCGGGTAACATCTCGATCGGCTTCTCCATGATGCCCTCTGGTGTCAGTCCTATCTTACCATTAGCATCCTGTACAGAGACAAAAAAAAATAATTCATGTGGAGAAATAATCAGGTCAAAATACTTTTCCTGCGGGATTTTGATAATTGAACTTAAATGTAAACTAATCTTCATTAATTTTACCCTCCATTATCTTTTTTTTTCTAAACTACCAAATTGTAAAGAAAAGGATTTGATATAATATAGAAAATAGAAAAATCATTATTTAAAATCTTTTGCCCATCAAATAAGTTAAAACTTCACATGGATATGTAAATTAAAGTTTTCCTTTTCATGCAAAACAATATCCACAAGCACTAAACTTACTCTGAAATTTCCCCAGGCAAAGACCTTCCCCTCATCTGTCAGAACTGCCGAGTGACTGTCCCCAGCAGACAGCTGAATCCCTCGCCCCAGGAAATCCACCTTGCCAGGGAGAGTCTCAGACCCCTCCTCTGATGTGTTCCTCCCTAAAGCACCCTCATCATTGCACCCAAAGGTATAAACCTGAAAGTGAAAGTGACAATTATAACCACCAATGTACAAACCTTAAACAGAAAGTATGAAAGGGGTACAGCAAAAAATTTAAATTCAGTTGTAAAAACACTTTCAAGGATTGCAAGAATTCTAAAACAAATTTAAATTTACAAGAGAATAGGAAAACTCTCAATTTTAATAATTACTGTTCAAGCTAAAGAAATTTTTACTTTCATAACTTCCAATATTGTTTCTAAACAAGCTAAAAACAATACTTTAAATTTAAATACTTACCTCGCCTTTATTAGTTAGACATACAGTATGCATGCCCCCCGCTACTGCTGACACTATTTTCTGATTGTCAATGTTGATAAGAGCAGGTCGACTCTTCTCCATGACATCAGGACCAAGACCCAGCTGTCCGACGTCACCCTCCCCACAGGCCAGGACCACCCCCGTCACTGTCACATCAGGGTGGGAGGGGTGTGTTACTAAAATAGAAACACAATAAAATAAACAGAGCACAGCAAACACCTGTCACATCAGGGTGGGAGGGGATTGTTACTAAATAAAGTAAATCAGTGATTGGGAAGGGGTGTGTTGAAGTAAAATATGGCGCATTAACACAAAACAATTGTGCGCATTCAATTTTTTAGCGATATTATTTTGAAATATTTTACGTACGACTTTCTGTCTTGTTTTACTTTCGTTTTAAATGCAGTCAATTTAAAACAACTAATCTCATTGGTTGAACCTCGTCAAAAAGACTTGCCGTGTGTTACATTAGGTACAATACTTCAATTTGTATTGTAGAAACACATTAACACAAATACGGGTTAGTTATATACAAGTTCCTTTAAATCTGCTGCATTGCATGTGTTTGAAATCAGATTTGGTTAATTAAAAACTTTTTTCTTGTTTTCTTTCGTATTTGATATTTGTTTGTCACTCTGTTATTTTGTAAAATGGCCCTTCAGATTATATTGATGGCCCATTTATTTTCGAAATGGCCCATCAAAAATGTTGACAATTGCGCCATAGTCCCATTGACCATTTTGGTCTTCCCAATCACTGGTAAATATAAAACAATAACATAGCACAGCTAACATTGTGGTTTTATTGAAGAGACATTAAAGAGCAATATGTCATTTGAAGTAGAATTCCTCTTAATTTCTACAACTTTGCTGGAGAATTATTTTTTTTCTTTATCAATATCATCAAAAACCTGAATCTGTTAACTTACTCTTGTGTTTCTTATTAGCGATCTTATTTTCCCCCTCTGACTCCCGGGCTCGCTTTTTCCCTCTTCCAGGCATCTGTAATTAAACACAAAATCTGTGTTATACATCATCCATTATTTGAGTTTTTAACTACATGACATTCAGACATCTAAACATGGAATTTTTTTTAAAAATGCATGTGAAAAAACAGTCAATTATGTTATAGTTTTTATTTTCATCTTCATACAAAAAGCACATACTTAAAAATAAGTCAGTGGTCCCCTCCCCCACCCCATACTTCTTACCTGTTGTAAAACAGTCCCCTCCTGGAAGATAAAGTTCTGTTGTTCCTCAGACAGAGTCATGATTGAGACTGGTCTGTAGAACCTACCTGTTGTCTACCTGTATATATCACCTGAGTGATTGTCACCTGGGGTAATTACCCCTAGCTGAGTTCACTCACAGATGGACAGGTGTCATTATCTCCCAATTACACAATGTCATCTGACCCCCACAGGATAAAATCCCACCCCAATGATTCAATACCTCTGAATTAATGGCCATGCTGAACTTCTGTCTCCAACTATCTATAATTGCTTATATCTGTCTCAATGTGTATATATAATTATCACATGTATTCTAGGCTCTGTTTTCTAAGATGACATTTAATGTGACTGTCTGATAATGCAAACATTTTATTACAATTCAGTTCTGATTTAAACAAAAAAATTTAAAAGGGCACATTGCAATCTTCTTTCTTTATTGTTTATCCTTTCCTCATCTTCTTGAGAAACATGTTCTATTTTTATCCTTAATCTCTTAAATCAATCCCATTTATCAAACTTCTTAACTGATTAAGCAACTCTATCATATAATATATAATTATGAAAAGTCAAACAAATGTGTTTTTTATTCACTTCACACTTTGCTTGATCTGGTCAAACTTTTTTTTCTCTTTAATTGTGATACCATTTCAAACATAAGGTAATTATATAATAGTGTTGCATTATGCACCTAAACAGAGGGGGTATTGACACATGGTGCACGAGCCGGAGGCGCGTGCACTATGTGTTAAACCCTGTATAGGCATAGTACATGCATAATGCAAAGTTTAATTATTATGCTGACTGTTGTTATTATTTATGCGGCAATCCATTTGATTTTTTCCTGAAAATAATGGTGGTAACACACGCACTTTAACAAAATCTTCATGCTAAAATTAGTTGCATGCTTAGTTATTTTGGTTACTAGTATTTTCTCTAATAAGTCAGAATTTTCTGCAAATCACATCTTTATTTTCTGTTTTGTTAGTAAGAAACTGATATGTTTAACAAACTACTATCATAATTTTCTTTTACATCCTTCAATCAAGCGCTACTATCAAACCACATGGTATCAATTCATCTAACGATATGTAATTAGTTTGAAACTTTGTTGTACATATTTTTCTAACAAATAAATATAACTGTTTTCAAATAATATTTGTCTATTTTCTCTAATTGTAAAATAAGTTTATATATTTAATAAAATTCACATAATCAAACTACGTAATCGATAACATCACTCAACCTCAACAAATTCTGAGTTCATTGAAGAATTTTATTCAAAACACTGCACAAATCCATAGTATGCTTAGCAAAATCCTTAGATTTGAATTTTCCTTATATAGTGACAAATCCAGGAAGCATAATAATAGGGAATACAAAGGGGCATAAAAATACCTTAAACAGTCACATTTTGAAGTATTCAACATTCTCTGCTGCAAATCTTGCTAGGTGATTTGGAAATAAACTAACATAAAACAAGTCAACTAACCATTCAAGGTGGCATGGTACTTAAGGAGGCTCATTACACCACTTTTTGATGACGTACTACACAAAAAAATAAACCTCCATTGTGTCATGTCCATGTATACTTATCTGCACTACCTTTAAAACGCTTTAAAAATAGATGAAACATGCAGTGTTGTAAACAGTGAAAACAAAGTAAACTCATAAAAGAATTATAGGTCAATGCTTTTAGAAATTGAAAGAAATCAACAGTCAAAGCTAGTAAAAAGCATACACATCCACATTCACATAAGGTTAATTATTGTAGTCCAGCCTTAATTAAAATTTTATTTAATTGAAAGTGTTGGTGTTAATGTATATATTTGCATTAAATACCTCTTCTGTATTTAGATCCATCTTTTAATAATGTAAATTAATTGCTGCTTTTTCCAGTCTGGAATCTTATAAAACGATACTAACAATTTGAATGTCCCTTCACCATTTTTTTGTTTTATGCTGACCTGATTGGTGGTTTGAAAAATAATTTTTTCTAAAAAAAAATTATTAGGTATTATGAGGTATTTTCCTGTGTGTACAGATTAAGCTGTTCTCATTTGACACTGAAACTTCAATAATTCTAAACCTGAAATAAAACATTTCCTAAAATAAAACAAAAACTGTCTGTAAAGTAATTTCCCATGTGGTTACATCAAATGCTATAAATCTAAAATAACACTGTTGTAAGATACCAAGTCTAACAAACTATAAAGAAATCACAATCAGGTCGTGTTTAACATGTTTTATATAAATGCTGAAACAAACCACTGCAGCTATTTTTAGAAAAAAGTTTTGTTGGTGGGCAAGTAATTTGATAACAGGTGCTATACAAGTTGTTTTCAAACTAAAAAAAAATTAACAAACCACAAAAATATAGTTTGTTATTGCTTTAAAGTTTGTTCACAGCAAAGCACCTGTTTTCACTGATGATGACTAGTTTGTTAAAAATCTTTTTACCCATTAACGTGTTGGAAAATTAAATATGCAATGCGTAAAACATTTTTGCACATGCTGAAAAATTAAAACATTTGAAAAAAAAAGTGTGATAAAATAGCTTATTCAAGCTATTCCGAATAGCTTTATAAAGCTATATAGCTAAATCAAGCTATATAGCCTTTTCCATTAGATACACACAACATTACTTTTTTAAAAAGTGTACATGTATTTGTTCACAGAATTTTGAGGAATGGTCCTTAAAATGTATCAAGCAAATTTTTCTGTGGATAATATTTTGACAATGGTCTTTGTGTATTGTTACGTGTTTAATATATATCATGTTGAAACATGTATTTTAAAAATAGGTGGGACAAGCAATTTTTTGACTATTTCCTACATGGTAACCTGTATGGCTTTAGTCAGAGTGACTCCGAACAAGTACAAAGTCTGGTCAGCATCATAGATTATTAATTATAGCTGAAATGAATACTATAAAGTCGATTTTGTTTGACTAAATTTGGTAAAATTTGGAAAAAAAAACAAAGTTTCACCATAAGGATTTGTCTGTTCATCACTAATGTACGCGACTTAAATTGAACCAAAGAGGACATAAACATGATTGATGCGGAGGAATTTCGGGTTAAGAAGTTAGGGACACGTGTTGCACTTCCTGAATTAACATAACGTCAAGGGACCATTATCTACTCATTTTCATACAAAATCAATTTAGTTATACATACCTCTGGACTAAAGTATTCAGTTTAGAAGTCTGTTTTCTTTATAATCGTTGTTATTTATTTCGCTTAAAAGTCCCGCGCTTCCGGAACTTTCCGCTTTACGATCCCGATCGTTAGAATAAAAGCGTTGGTGAAACGTCGAGCTTCGAAAACCATCCAATATCTCTAAAGGTTTTTATAAATACAAGGTAAAGCAAACAACATTTTTACTTAACCTACAATATATTTATGGTTTAAAGTACATTTAATTCATACACGTAATCCTTTTTTACTATTTAACGCGGTATTTTGCCTAATATAATGATGTTATAGTTAGAGGAAATTCGAAATTTGAATAGGATCAAAAGAAAAGGCAGTTCTCTATACTTAAAGTAGATTCCACTCTGAAGAATATTTTTTTTATATAATAAATCAATTTACTGAATCAAATTAAGCTTTTTAATTGACTTATTTTGTGATCAATATTTCATTTCATTTTGGAATATTATTTTCAGTATAAACATTTGAACAGTTGATAATATGGGAGACAGATACAACATCCACAGTCAGTTAGAGCACCTGCAGTCTAAGTACATCGGTACCGGGCACGCTGACACAAACAAATGGGAGTGGCTGACCAATCAACACAGGGACAGTGCTGCATCATACATGGGACACGCTGACATGCTGAACTATTTTGCTTTAGCGGAGAATGAGTCTAAGGCCAGAGTCCGATTTAACTTGATGGAGCGTATGTTACAGCCGTGTGGACCCCCACCAGAGAGGCCAGAGGACTGAGGCCCCAAGGGGAAACTTTAAACATTAATTAAAATGTACAATGCACAATATATTTTCATAAAGTACCATTCATTTCTTTGATATATAATTATATGATCATCCCTTCATGTCATTTCAATGTTGTTTTATTTGTGTAAGCTTATATGAAGACTAGACATGTAAGAGTATGGGAAGGTCAACATTACCGCTACGTTGCCAAAAATTTCAACTCATTACCGCTACATTTTTTCAGATTTTCGACCAATCATTACCGCTACATTTTTCCGGCTAAAAACAACTCATTACCGCTACATATTGAATCAGTCCAAAACAACTCATTACCGCTACATATCGAGTTAGCAAGGTATGGTTCGGTATATAAGTTCTAATCAACAGAATTTACTTCCTATCTAATCAGAATGAGTATACTTATATAAATAACTCTGCTTCATTTAAAAGCTTCATCTGAACATTATGGCCACAATTGAGAAGTTTGTTACAAATTGAGGGAATGTTGGCTTACTTATCAATGGTTATAAATTTATAAAACAACATGTCAAGCAAATGGCTTTCAAGGCTTTAGCGACAGCGTAAAAACATTTGACAAAACTTAGAACTTTATCTATGAACAGTGCTTGATTTTCATTCTTTTGTGTTTTATGAAATAAAATTGATTTTAATAATAATAAAAAAAATCCTGCTCAAAGTCCTATATTCCCCGTGGTGAGCAGTGTAAGGGTACACATGCATTTATAAGTTGTACTGTACACGTATATGTGGCTGGCTTACGAAAGAAGCAATGTAGCGGTAATGTACATACCTTTTAATGTAGCGGTAATGTAAGGTTTTTTGTAGCGGTAATGACTATGTAGCGGTAATGAAAATTTTGAAAATGTAGCGGTAATGATACGCACCCAGAGTATGAATATTTGAAAAAATGATGATTTTTTTCACCACTGCTGTGCAGCATGTGAAAAGTATAGTTAATATCCTTTTAGAATATTATAAAAAAAACTGTTGAAACCAAGATTAATGTCTGGAAACTTTTTGATGTCTTCATTAAAAGTACATGATATTCTGGTGTATTGGGTTCTCTTTACAAAGAATATTGTATTGCAATATAGTACATATATCCTTATACCGTATTTTAATTATCCTATTTACCTACATTGTTTAAGTCTGAAAAGTTTTCTTTTTGCAATATTATCCATTATAACGAATCCCCCAGCTTGTATTCAGGTGAACAGCGTACTGTTATCCCAAAATTGTGATTAGTAGATCAATGGATTAATCCTAAGGAAATTGTCTTTTTGTCATTTTTGATATAAGTTAGTAGAGAAATTTTTTTTTGTCACTTTAAAGTTGACTTTTCTTTCTAAAATGCTTATTCTTGAAAAATAATATGTAATTATGTGCCATGGCTATTAATGACAGAAATCATGCTGGAGGAACATGTATGTTGATTTGTCTCAAAAATCAATTTTTTCAGCTCTCCTTGACAAAGTCGAAATGGGATTTTGTTATACCTTTAAAAATTCTTTTGTGGTCAAATTACCAAAAAAATCTATTATTTCACAGAATAATATTGTACTCAATTTCATTCATTGGGTGTTAAACAGTGACCATGTTATAGTACAAAACATGTTTAACAATTAGCATTGAAAACAAACTTTTCAGCTCTCCTTTACAAAGTTGAGATGGGATTGTGCTGTATCCTCATTGTTAGTTTATCCTCATTGTCAGTTTCAGTGTTGGTGTCACCATCCCATTTAAAGTCTTTAAAGGAGAAAGTTCATCCCCTAGTAACTATTAACCCTTTATACTCCAAATACTTGCATTGCTGATGCATCTAGGAATGGAATTTTTAAAAAAGTAATATACAGGTTACAGTTTTGGGAGCAAATCCATTTCCAAATAATTCTAAGGCCAATTTAAACCAAAATTGACGAGATATTGAACTTGGAAATGCACACTAGGAAGAAATAAAACATTTGTGATGTTTATACCTATGTTTGATGTTGATATTATGTCAGTATCACTGGATTTGTGAAAGTTATATTCAGCCTATATATACCACCCTTCCTTATTCAATATACAAACTTCTTGTGATGGCTACATAAGTTGGAACAGTTACTCCACAGGCATTTCAAATTGACACAAAAACTTATCAAAAACAAATAAACTCTAAGTTTATCAGTCCAAAATTCCTATGGTGCCTTTGGTTTTACCATCAGAAAAATGTCACCTACTAGGGGAGGTCCCAGAAATGCAGGAAACACGAGTTATTACCCTTTCTGTTAGATTTATAATGTATATCCACAAGAGGTGATTCACTTTTTTCAAGTCCCTTTAAATTTATTAAATCAAATATTTTCAGAATTATAACAGTCGACACAACATTGCAGAAGGTCCGTCTCCCCATCCCTTCCTCTGAAACGTATATATTTAGCAATTATTTATCTCTTGTTACATATACATGTACATACATGCTGAGTATTTTGTAGGAAAGTTTATTCTTTTCAATTTCAAAGATATAATGTATTTTTTTTTGGAAACAAAAGTCGCTGTCCAGAAACTAATCAAGCAAAAATAGTTAGGATTAATTAACATGAATTAAAATTAGAATCTGAAGCAAAGTCTCTGTAAACACAAGCTCTACTATCAAATTGCTTAATGTACATTAATTTATGAGTACTAATTATCTCTCCATACATAAACTTAGCTAATTAAACAGAGGTGATTAAGACGGTGATGATTATAACTGTTAATGATGTAAAAGTTACACTGTTTGTTTTTAATTGTTCGTTAATTAAGATTACCGTTTCTGTTGAGTAAATATCGACTCTAACAATTCCTAACTGTATAAAAATATTGCTCCCCGTTAGCTTGGTCAGAATTCTTTGAAAACTACTGTAAAGAAAATGGTAAGATTTAATCTTTAAAATTGTTAATTTTAAAGCATTTTAATGCAATTCTGCAAAAAATGAAAATGAATTTAATTTTAAAAAAGATAATGAAATAAACCCGAGTATTATATATAGGATGCAATTTTTTTTATTCTATTACAGACGGGATACAGTGTGGATTTTTCGCTACACAATTCTTCATTTGTAATTGAAGAATGGAAAACGTCAAATATAACAGGCAAGTACTCATCTGATAACTTATATATAGATATTGTTCTTCCCTACATTTATTTAGAAATATTTAAATATATAACGAAATTAAGATTTTTTTGTAACATTAAATATTAAACAGAAAAATAATATTATGACTCTTGCTCTCTCTCAATATTATTTTTATTATTCATTATCATTTTAAAAAGGAATCCGATTTAGGACAAAAAGTTAGGAAAACATTGTATCTATAATTTTGTTGGCTACTTCATGGCAACAATATCCAAAAAAAAGGATTTGTCATATTTTGACAATTTCATTTATCCGTCTTCTAGGTTTGGTGGGGGCCATATTGTTTAGTACAGGGGTTTCATTTCTACACGAAGCAATTACAGTATTTATGAATATTCAAGAATTCAAACTTCAAAACAGGTAAATGCTTTATTTCTTTTTACAATGTAAATTGATTCCTTCCTCATATAATGATGCAAAATTCTTTTTTTTTTTTTTAAATAATGAAAATTTCTGAGTGATTTTAGATAATACATCTTTTCCGACAATTGTGCTTAATTAAGTACCCATTTTTCTGAGAAAAAAAAATCAACTCAAAGATATTGATTTGTTTATATCCGTTTCAGACGTCACAAAGTTCCAGTACACCTCGGTTTGTCGGTCGCCCACGTGATCCTGACATTTCTCCGCCTCGTCCTCGTCCTGGCTGTTTTATCTGGAAACATCTGGGTGTGGATCTCGATAGGCGTGGGAGTAGGGACCGGATACTTCTTTATGAGGCCCTGTCTTGTCTGCAAAACACGCGAAGCACCAGTCGATTATGACGTCACAATTGGAGGACGTGTTCGATTGCAGACAGTCAGAAAATTAGGTCACTACAGCGTGCAGAAATTAACACAACAATCCAAGGTCACACAAGAGAAACAAGACGTTTACTTCAGACAAACAACAGAACACAACAACAATACGCACGATACAGACAAACAGACGCAGCCCCTTCTAAATACAGCATCTCAAAGTACAGAAAGGTCAAACCTCAGCCCTCAAGAGTCGATGACCTTCCTCCCGAGCGCTCAACCCACGATACAGAACATGAGTAACGAGGAGCGCTGGGATTACATCCGGGAAACTTTCCAGAAGCTGTCCCGCTCTCATCTGTATGAAGGTTTGGAAAGACGACGTCAGCAGCAGGACAGGAGTTATGTCCCCTGTGAGAGTCCACTCAACTCTAGTCAGCCGCGATGGGAGAGTTCGTTTGACGCCTCTACAGTGGACATCCAGGACCTACTGAACGAAGAGGAGATGACCAGGGCACAGAATCCCGTCAAACATTAAATGTGTGACTCACTACCTGTATAAATTATTAGTTTAGACCTTGTTATCCCAGCCTATTTATTAAGTAATTTTATTGCAATGTGATTTTATTTGTTTTTGTAAAAAAAAAAGCTTACGTTAATCATGTTAATAAATTATTTTTTCTATTTCTGAATGTAAATGTGCATTTCTGATTTTTATACCGGTATGTTAAGATGATACTTATCGATGGGATGGGATTGGGATCATATACATGTGTGTAAACCCAACCCAGGGCATAGAACATTTTAAACATATACCCCAACTTATTTGATTATATCTTTCTTTACCCCTGTCTACTGGATGTAACACCTACCTGATCATAGAGGATGTGATTGGTCATCATGGAATACTTACTCCTCCTTGAAACCTTATAAAGATCGGATTTTCCATGGATCCTTGTTTTGTTCTCTTCACATGTTTGTATTGTTTGTAGATTTTCGGGATCGACACCTGCTTGCTATTCTGATTCGATATATCAAATTGATATCAAAATAAGAGACACCACAGAGTCTGACAAATCTGCTTCGTGTATGGATATCATTAGTTAAAGAATGAATTGATGGCAAATTTACAATTACCAATTTTTTATCGTCAGCTTCTCTTATCTGAGTAGTGATAATATTATTATCACTTGTTCAAGGAGTTTTTATCTTATAGTTTCTTCGATGTGTAATTGCATATTCTACGTCTGAACAGTTTTTGAAACGAAGCATCTATTGACAGATAATTTGATAAAATAAAGGTATCAGCAGTCTCGTTTATATCATCTCGATACTTAGATATCTCGACCGTGTCTTCTACCTTTTCCCACATTCTAAAATTCTCAATGTCATTCAAAATGTGGGATTATGTAGAATAAACCATATCGACGACGTATTGTCAATCAACATTAGTTATTTAAATTCTTATTTCGATACGATATATCCAGGTGAACTTGAAAAAAAGATGCAACATAGTCTGACACTTCTGTTCCACATGTAAATATTTTTTCTTGGAGAAAGACGTTAATGGCAATTTTACAACCAAGCTTTATGACATACGAGGTGACTTTAACTTTTCAATCGTTGACTTCCCTTTTTTTTATACAATATACCTTCATCATCTGCATACAAGATTTATATTTTAGTCGATTCGATACGCAAGGACATGCTCTACGTTTGAACAGTTTCAAAAATGAGGTAAATTATTGACGAACAAGTTGAAGAAACAAGAATATCAGCAGTCTCGCTTGAAGTCATTTCGTAAGTTCTATGGTCGAAATAATGACCTTGTCAGCAAATACTTATCATTGAGTCAAATGCTGACAGACTTTTTTCATACTAATTGTTAGTTCATTATTTAAACATCGAATTGACGATGAATTTTCCAGTCATTTCCCGATCATGACAAGGAGCACACGGCGGGTGTGACCGATTGGCATCGGATGCTCACTCTTCCATGGCACCTAGTCCCACTTTCATTTTGGAGGTCCGTATTTGTTTTGCTTCTTATTTTGTATTGTTTTATTAACTTTTGACTACTCCATATCTGCCTATACACCATGTTCTAATGAGCATTTTCAATGATAATGAAAACAGTTTATTCAGGCAAGCATACTCTCATCCTTCATGTATCAGGTGGAAGTCACTAGATGTTTCATGCTAGTGGATATATCTCATAAAGGAAAACATTTCTTGCCCTCTACTTTCATGTATCAGACGTCAGTGAAGTGAACATAGCTCAAATAGACAAGCATTCATACTCTCAGCCTTCATGTAACATGTGCAAGTGCAGTTATTCCAAAAAGACAAGTTCCACTTGCCCTCAGCCTGTAATTTAACCAATCACACATAGTAATTTCTATCGTGTGTTAGTCATTACTTGAATCTTTTTTTAATGCAGCTGATAAATCATCATTATGTGATAGATTTAGGCCTAGCTGCATGAAAGATGACAGATTTTAAGTACATACCGGTATACATGTACCGGTATTAGATTATTAAATGAAAGATATATCCCATGATTTGTTGTTAATCCTAGGCCTTGGCGATGGGATAAAAATATCAGGACAAAGCGGTAAAAATGTGATAAAAGATGAAACTCGATAGATCGTTTCTATTGTTTTATGAAAAATGAAATTCTAATTTAAGCCTTTCTTATATACTTCATTTCAACTCGTTGGATAAAGCCAAAACCAAACCACAAAATATAGATTTTTTCTATTTATCTTGTAGCTGCAATAATTTAGCCCTCTCCGATTTTTTTATCTGATATTTTCTGGCCCCCAAAAGGAGAAGGCTACATAATTGCAGATGTTTATCTTGCAACAACGCCCTGAATTAAGCTGTTACCCTATAAACCAAAACTTAATTTGGTCACTGCCCTTGTGCAACATCATCTACATATTGAAGATTTATGCAAGGGCGTCTTAGTTTCAACTGTAGATATATCCGTAAGTACTAGTCTGTTGAAATAGCTCGTTTTGGAGGTCTGGTGTAAAAAAAACTATTGCAGCCAGGATAAACAAAATACAGGAATATTGTCTTGAAATATAAGCAACATTTGGGCTTGGATCGAAAATATGATAGAGGGCGAGGCTTGCCGAGCTCTCTTTCACTTTTGTTTTATAAGTGCCCATGCAAATATCCTTATATTTCAAGTCAGTAACCATTTTATTTACTAGTATATGTTCGTAGTCGTTTGTCATAGAAACCACAAACTCCTCATCTCCTTTGATAATAAGCAATAACATTTAATGTCATGATAATTTTTATTAAAAAAAATTACGATGTTCTAAGGTGAAATTAAGGAGGGTCTTTCTTAATCCTCTCAAAGAATAGTTCCTGAATTGCTGAACTATGACAGGTAACGATCCTGATAAGTTATGTTTGATTTCTGTTCACGAGTTCCGTGATTTCTTGAACTAATCTCATCACTGTGGCAGTTTGTATGTTGTTTGATGAATGTCTGAGAGATTGTAGGTAGGAATTCAGAGCATCTTCATGGTTCAATGTCACCTGTTGACAGATTCCAAGAATCTCCCAGGATATGTCTCTTTGATATGGCTCCATGTATTTCCACTGATCATTGTGGACCAGGTTCTGTAGAACATCCAGAGCTGATTGTGCTCTCACTGGGTCTACATGTCTGTAACACAAGACCTCTAACATGTGTAACACAACATAAATTGGGATAACTAATATAGGGTATCCACACTGTAACCCAGACTGTTGTTCTGGCACCAATTCATTAATGTAACAGATTCTATTTTCAAGAACAATATCCCATGCTACAGCATCTCTCAACTTTTTAGACCAAGACAGTCCCCCTAAGGACTCATTAAACATGTTCAGCAATGCATTTTTTGTTAAATGTTTGACATACCTTACATATGGCTGAGATAACTTGACTTTTGTCATCTCTATAATCGATAAGGCTTCTTTATATCGAAGGGCTTTGTAGTAAAACATTGCAATATACAACATGCCCGAAATACACCCAAACTTGGCTGCTAATTTCAACATATTTCTGTTTCTTTTGTTAGCCCGATATACCTGTTTGTTTACAACTGAGCTAGTATTTACTCTGAGTTGTACAAAAACAGTTACAATATTGGAAAAGATAAAAGCGGTCCTCTGGAGTATAGTGGATGTGAGCTTCTGTAACATGAGAACTTGGTACTGAGTCAGGGGTAGAATCATCAACTTTTCTACAGCATTGAGGAACTTCATACAGGTATTTAGGTATGGTTTTGATATATGATTTGTAAACAATTCTTCAAATAGATCTAGTTCAAACAAAACCTTGGAGATCAACATGGGTTTCATACCAACAGATAGTCTGAGATTGTGAAAAATACTTGTAGCACTATAACTGATAGATGGAATATGAAGCAGTGAAACTAAACCCTTCTCATACAATTTATAAAGCTTAAAAAATAATTTGTTTTGTGCTTCACCATAAATTTTACCCAGAAACATGTTGTTTTCTGGAATAAAAAAGTTTGGGCATACCCCCTCATACACCCATTTAAGGATAAGCTTAAAACAGACCCAGAAACACTGCATGAGATTTTGTGGATGCCATTGAGGCGATTTGTTTTGTTGAATTACCCAGAAAACTGCCGTCTTCATGTGATACGAACACAGTAATTTATCCTCATCACTTAATCCATGATTAATAGACTCTTTTAAAAACAATTTAAGCAACCCATAGGTTAAGAATTGGCACTGGTTCATCGAGTAGACAAGTTTTTGTTCCGCCAAAGAGAAAGAAATTCTCCATTCCTTGTCTGCATGTTGTCCTAGTTTGTGTCCTATTGCTACAAAGTGGCACCCATTACTGACTATGTCATAAACAATATAAGATGGGGGGCATGCGTGACATCTGTCTATCCATTTGGAGGCGGGAGGAGGCCAAAAATTACAGACAAAACATTGGGCATGGTCATGCTCTCCTCCCACTACAACACCACTTCCAGACGGGCCATGTTCCTTAAAATTTGGCAAATCGGCTGAACATGTGATCTGTCTGTATTTGGAACTGGATATATATAATCTGTCATTTATTTTTATGCATGCATTTTTTACACTTTCCCTGTGTGTCGATGTCAGTAATTCAAGTAACCCAAATCCTGGTGGGCTCTCAGAACAATCACAGAGAATCAGTGTTTTTCTTAAGTCATAATTCTGAGCCTGGTTTAAGTCCCATATAACGATGTGGTCTTTTGGCCAAATCATAAAATCCACATCTGACCCCTCTAGCCTGAATCCTTCTTTGTGACTCCCACTAACCATTGTCATATTTTCTTCTCTCGTTTTAATTACTTGATTTTTTATCATGTCCCTGAAGTCCAACATCTCTCTCCTCATCCTCACTGACTGCGAGGTTCCCACTTTGTAACACATTTCCACAAACACAGCCTCTGATAGATGTTGCATACCCAAGTTCCTGTACCAAACATAAAAAATATATTTAAAAACATATTACTTATTACATATTACAGCTCATCATTAGCGGCCGATCTATTTGTGTTGCATATGGGGAAATGAGATGTTATTTTTTTTTAGTTCCGTAAAATAGTTCTTAAATGATAACAAGTATAAAATCACCAGCAGAATATTTAAAAAATTACTTTAAACTTAGTATTAATTGCTTTTATTATGTTTCAATTTCATTATCATTTTTCATCAGATGATTGATAATTTCTGGTTATATAAAAAAGCTTACAATAGATACTCCTCAGCATGGGAATGTGTAAGATATGAACGGAAATCGTCATGATTTTTCCGGATAATAATGACGTGGTAAAAGTGCATGGTGAATAAAAATTGAAAAGTTTTTCAACTAGTAAAATTGTTTGAATATACTTTACAGCTGCCTGCAAATGACAAAAAGATATTTTTTCTACATTTTGCACCGAGGCTTGCAGCATAGCCTACTCTGTAGAAACCGCATGGGCATTATCACGTGACCAAAATCCAGGGTATAAGAACTTGGTTTATTTTGAGAGGCATACATCTTCATTTTAATGACGATAAATTCTTATCATTGACCTTTTTTTACATCGATGAATTTATTTATGAACAAATGCGGTAAATTGTGTATTTATTTAATTTTTAAAAATTATTTATTTTGCTTTAAAGACACCTGACATAAAAATGTTCAATTATGTCACTTTGAATATCTTGACTTGCTTTCCTTGCATGGACACTTTTAAATATAGTGAAAGATTTTTTTAATGCCAATTTTTTTTGCGGCCGATTTGATGCTTTGCAACAATTTTGCCTATTTTTATTGTACAACACCTCACTAGTTACTTTACCCTCGGTCTGACTTACATAGATGAATTGTAGAATATTAAGAAAAACATTAAGTAGTCTGTATTGATAATATATAGATACAAATATGTACAAGTTTGGTTTTATTTTTACTTATACCTTTAGCCATTTGTAGAAGGACATTTTAATATGATAGCAAGTATTTCATGTTCATGTTCACTTAGAAAGGTAAAATTAGAAGTGGAAAATCTTTATTGTGCTTTCAGTTCAAAAATAAACTTTTTTAATTGCCGAAAATCTTTATTGTGCTTTCAGTTCATAAATAAACTTTTTTAATTGCCATAATCATAGTAGTATATGTTAAATTTAATCTGAAACAGTTAAGATTGATTAATTAATTATTTAATTAGCCCTATATTCAAAGTTCTACTCAGAAAGAATACTGTAATCTATCATACAATTAACATATCTATGTTTCAAGGTGGTCATTGGGACATGTTACGGTAATCAAAAGGAAAGTATCTTTTAGCAATAGATAAGCATTGAAGCTCATGTCAAAGTGAATACATTGAAGTGGTAAAATTTTCCGATCGAATGGAACGTTTTGAGCTATCTTTAGAACGTGTATTGTCACCTTATGACACGCCCATTTCTTTAGAAATGGATGAAATGGTCAATTTGTTTATTCGAATTTCTGTAGAACAGGTTTTCCATAAATATAATAGCCAATCAAATTGTCTGTCTAAATAAACACCGAGTAAATACGTGTTCGACCGAAACATGTGTTGTCGTAACTTCAATAGACATGAGTTCAAAAATATGTACATATTCGTTGCAATTTATGTTTTACAGAAGCAGGGAGTCTCTAACTCTCTCTTCTTATTTTTTTCAAGCTTCATTTCAGTGTAACTCATATTGCTTGTCGCAAAGATTGGGGTATCCTAAAGCATTACGACGAATATTTCTTTCTCGTTTCTAAAAATATGGGCGTGTCATAATGTTGTAATTGACGTTCAAAACATGACTCGGAACGTTTCATCCAAACGGAAAATTTTACCACTTCAATGAGCTTCATCGTATATGATATTTTCCTTTCAAAGACGTATTATATATTCAAGATTCACAATCTACAACAAATACAATTTTCTATTCAAAAAATTCTACCAATGTGAATGAACCACTGTAACAAGATTAACCAAACAAGTCCATATGCTGACTGATACATGATTGACTGAGTACATTTCAACTGAGTGTTTGCTAGCACGTTTACTGTGGGCATTTATCTGTAATGACACAAATCCACTTGGCTTGTTGTGATTCAAAACAGGTCATAAAGAGGTTAATCGCATGTAAATGAAGACAGCGACGATGTTCAAAATCACAATACTTTTAATTAGAAAACATAGAGCACAAAGTTGTTCAACAAAGATATTAATTTTTACTCAACCTTTACACATATAAGATACACATTATATATGAAACTCGACTCTGAACAAAGCTGTGCTCGGTGTTTACGAAAGCTTAAAAGTTTGTACCTGTCACGGATTTCTTTTGATATTCATGAAAATCAAAGGACCCGAACTTCAAAACACAGCTTCGTATGCTGTGTATATCTATTATTTGACATTTTTAGATGAAGATTTAAATAATAAAGACATTATTTATTAATAACATTTAATTTTTAAAGCCTTTGATAAATGTTCGAAATTTGACGAGTAACCGGGGACCACAGATAAGCCTTAAATGAGAATTGTCCTTTCTCGAAATATTCGCATTTTCATTTCAATTTCTTTTTGTTTAAAAAAATATTGTCTAACACGATCTCCCTAGCCGTGACGAGTTTTCAGAAGATTTTGACCATACGTTTAAAAATATTTACAAATAATGCGATTTATTTTCATATATATTTTAATATTTTTAGTAAAAGAAAAATGAAAGTGCATATGAGTTTTCTTTACACAATTTTTTTTTTTTTAGATATTCATATGTTGCATTCATTAACAACAATTTTTAAACTCTAATGCATCTTATATGCAAAAAAAACAAGTTTTTCCTTTTTACCGAAAAAAGCAAAATAATTCATATAAAATGATTAAAAGCTAATATCCAATTTTGAGTGCTGAAACCATAACTGTATGGGTTTGTCTTAAAGATCTGTTTCTTGTGGAATTTGGTGTGGAATTTCCTGCTAAATTCACTATAAAACTGTCAATTAAATGATGGTCTGGGTTACATCTCTTTTTTTTTTCTTGTGAAATCAAAGTGCATTAAAACAGAAATAAAGGTAGTCCGAAATATCTGATGTTTTTAAATCTTTTATTTACGATTGTGATATTTTACATGCCAAGAAAACTTCAGAACCGACGCCAGTACGAAAACTGGGAAATCGCCGCCTCCAAACGGAGGCGGGATTTTCGAGTTGATTTTATATACTTGCGATTCAAATTAAATTTCAAAGTTACAAGTTATAAATAGTACAATATCTTTAGTACTTACTAATATCGTTTTATGGTTCATTTATAAAATATTCAATCCGTTGAAAACATTTTATCAGTATCGAGATTCGTCTTCATTTCGTGCATTTTGAAATCCTGCAAGTACTGGAATGAAATATGGAGTGCTATTTTCTTTTCATCAATACTGGTGAGTACTAGAGGCATTGTGCTATTGATAAATTCTGATTTCAAAATTTAGTTCGGTTCCTAGTTTTTGTAATGGCACCGGTTCTGACGTTTTCCTGGCAGGTAAAATATTAAAATCGTTAAAAAGCCTGGAAAACATAAGATATTTCGGACCAGAAAAATGAAGAGCATATGGTATATTAAAGTCAATGAAAAACAAATTATAATTTAATGAATGTTTATCACGGGAACAATTTACGTCGGGTTATTCAGACACAATTATTTGTTAGCTAATGGACATGCAGGCATGATTTTTTTTAAAAAGATTGCTGCTTAATATGTATGTTACTTTAAAGACCTGTGGAAAAAAATTGTAACCAAATTCAAATTGAAGCTGTAAGCAGTGACTGGAGAATTAGCTATATTCTGAATCAAGAATACAGCCACACCTCCCGTGTGACACAATACAGTTTGGGGATTTAAGATAAACATGGAACAGCCATCAATGAAATAGACATCATATCCAATTACATTAGGGACATGAAAATGTAACCTTAATTTAGAATATTGTTGATAGGCTGGTGAAATTGGCTGCATTAATAGTGTACTTGAAGTATCAGTGGATATCAACGTAGTTTGATGCGTCCATTTTAAATATGTGATTATTGCTGTTGGTTATCTAATGTTGGTTGTTATTGGATTAAAACTTGAAATTTAGAAAATATGCACATAGATATTTTTAATATTGAAAAAGGTTTTCAGCGGGATACAGTCAATTCTGGACATACATATAATATGGAGTCATACAGGGTTCGCCTCGCCCAATATTCATATCCATTTCTCACCCCGCAGAACTCCATATTTGGTCCCGAACTGACTGTCTTACGATCTTTTCCCACTGAAGACCTTTTCAAATATTAAATTTGCCTCGCCCAATACGTATTTACATTTGACACCCTGTATGACTCCGTATAAGGTCCCTTACTGACTGACTGTGTTACGAATTTTGTTCTTCACTAAAATATGAACAGTAGTGAAGGAGTAACTTCAAGAGCAGTGTGCAACAATATATTCAAGAAGTGGTGAGAATCAGATGTGGATACTTAAAAAAATTCCATGAAACTTTCAGACAGTTTGAAATCACAAGATTTAACAAAAATCAACAACTTAAGAACTTACGACTTTTCAACTTCATATACACAGCCATTCTATATTCTATAAATTAAAGTCCAGACTGCTTTCAAAAATGGAACTCGTAAATTTACTTACCTTTTTATTGGTCATTTGCAAAATTATTTTGTCAAAACTTTCTGATTGTACACACATGTTTTCTGAAGTCGAGATAAAAAAGATGCTTGAGTTTAATTCACAATATCTATGTTGTTTTTGGAGACCAGGTCTTCCAACAATATCTTGGAATTCCCATGGGTACCACGTTTTAAATTTTGTAGCACACAAAGATATAAGATAAGACACAAGATATATCCTGGTGAGCTTAAAATAATAGATACCACAGAGTCTGACAACACATCTGTTTCATATTTGGATATTTTACTTGAAAAAGACAATAATAGTAATCTAACAACCCAGATCTATGATAAACGTGATGACTTTAACTTTTCTATCGTCAACTTTCCTGACTTATGCAGCAATGTACCTCCATCAACTGTAAACGTAGTTAATGTATATCAGTTGATTCGATATGCAAGAGCATGCTCTACGCATGAACAATTTTTAAAACGAGGTAAATTATTGACAAACAAGATATAGAGATATGGAGAGAACGTCCTCGAAGTCGTTGAGTTGAGCTAAATTTAATAAAAAATAAATGAAACGATTTCAATTAGTTAACCAAATTATACTTACATTTGGAATGAAGAGTTTGATATTATTTAGTGGGAATAGAGGCTAACAAAGAATAGGATACTGTAAAAGAAAAAATCAGTTTGAAAAATCCGTTCTCAAAATAGATTCTAAAATCAATTCTGTACTGTTTATATAAAAAAATTAGTATATGAATAGAACTGCTGAAGTTCGTATAATAGGTCGTTTCAATGTCTTTAACATTTACCTTTGAGGAAATAAAAAATATTGGCAAGGGAAGAGTATTTTCTTTGTATCTATCATAGATGTTACAATTGATGTCGTGGGCAAAAAAGCGTTCGCCGTTTGGTACAGTTCGTTAGGATCTTAAGGGATACCCTGAAAAAATAAAAAAAGAATGATCAGACACATATTTACTCCTATGCGCACAGGAGTGCGTATCGTTTTTAAAACAAAAAGCAGGATCGGGTGGTGGTTATAATCAATAATGCGTAAATATGATGTAAGCAGTGTTTAATTATTTTTAGTTCCAAGCTGTTACTTAAAACATATTTTATTGACTAATACAATAGGCATTGGGTAACAGACAAGGGCAATGTATGCATTCTAGTTGTAAAATAGTGCAAAATACAGATATTAAAAAAATACTTGTGTATAATAATGAATAAGGCTATATATAATGAAAAATAAAGATTAACAATCAAGTATTATTTCAAACTGTTCACAAACTAAGTCGAAGCATGGCACATTTTGTTCTTTTAATTCACAAACTCGATCCGTGAACAATTTTCTATAAATATGAGAATGTGGTAAAATTATACTTTTTGCCGTGAAATAATCGGAGAAAAAAATTATATAACAAATATATTGAAAAAACAAAAGCAAACACTTACAATCAAAATTAGGATCCATACACTGCACAATGTGTAACATCAGTTTAACGAAACGTGCGCTCCAGTTAACGATCTGGCACTTACTGCCACGTTTCACCCGGCAAATGCGGGTATGACTAATTTTATAAAAGCAAATAAATAATCCCTCCAAATGCAACTGCATTATAAGTTTAAAATAGTAAAACCTTTGTAAAACAAATACTCAAGAAATTGTAGATAATTGTAATTTACCAGCTTCAATTACTTAATGTGGTCTTAAGTACGTGCTGTAAATTTAAGTTAAATTGATATTAATGAGTTCCACAGGAAGTGTATGCTATTACCTCTGATGAAATTTTTACCAGCATATACGTGGGTTGTCAGGTAAAATCGTGGACAAGTTGTGTAGAGTAAAAAATAATCATCAACGCGTTCTTCAATTTCAATACTCTTTAGTATAATAATTTTAATATCCCGAAGAATCTGAATGAATTTAAACTACCATAAAATATTTTTTAAATGGATTCCTAAACTTTATAACAATCATTGCAAACACAGATATCAGGGTTCCAATAAATGTTCAACCGAGCCTCTTTCTTAATTCCTCACTAGGATTTTGACAGTAATGAAGTAGAAACTTCAAGAGTACTGTGCAAGAAAAACCTCAATTCCAAAGAACTTTTAAACAATTTTAAATCACAAGATTTTACCAAAATCAACACTTAAAACTTATGACTTTTCAACTTTATACACAACCATTCCCCACGAAAAATTTCACTTGCAAAATTATTTTGTTAAAACACATTCTGATTGCACACACAAGAACTCTGAAGTTGACATAAAAAGATGCTTGAGTTTCTGTTTGAGAATATCTACTAGTATGTGGTTTTTGGAGAACTGGTCTTCCAACAATCTATTGGAATTCCCATGGGTACCAATTGCGCTCCTTTATTAGCAGACCTTTTTTTATATTCATATGAAGCAGAATTCGTGCAAAATCTTATGCATGACGGGAAGAAAACCCCTGCTGTGGCATTCAACTAAACATTTAGATATATACGTAGACGACTTATTGTCAATTAATAATGGTCATTTCTATTCCTTCGTCAATACGATATATCCTGGGGAGCTTGAGATAAAAGATACCACATTTTCTGACACATTTGCTTCATACTTGAAATTTTCCTTGAAATTTCCTTGATATTAATGGTAATCTAACAACCAAGCTCTATGGTAAACTTGATGACCTTAACATTTCTGTCGTCAACGTTCCTTAATTATGCAGCAAAATACCTTCATCGTCTGCACCGTTCCCTGAAGCTCAGTCGGTAGAGCGCCCGCTCTGTGATCAGGAGGTCGTGATTTCGCATCTCGGCCGCGACTGACCTAAGTCGATAATAAATGTGTAGCAACTGTTCCTTCGCCATGCGCTAGACACTTTGAAGTGAAAGTAGCGGGTCCTTCGGATGAAACCAAGACCTCGTGTCAGCGGCAGGCGTTGACACGATAAAGATCCCTCACTGCTCAATGGCCCTGAGTGCCGAGTAAGGGTCAAAATTTGAAGATCTTCACCGGTATACGGTGACGTCTGCATATGAGTGAAAAATTCTCTAGAGGGACGTTAAACAATATACAATCAATCAATCATCACCTACATAAGGTGGTTGTATATTTCACTTGATTCGATAAAAGCATGCTCTACGTATGTACAGTTTCTAAAACGAGATAAGTTATTAACAGACAAGTTGATGAAACAAGAGTATCAATAGTCTCATTTAAAATCATCATTTCGTAAGTTCTTCTCTCGATACAATGATCTTGTCAGCAAATACAATTTATTATGTAGTCAAATGCTTTTCATACTAATTGTAAGTCCATTATTTATATCCTGATTGACGTACAGATTTTTACGTTATTTCCCGATCATGACAAGAAGCACACGGCGGGTGGGACCGGTCGGCAGGGGATGCTCACTCCTCACTGGCACCTGATCCCACTTCTGATGTTCTAGAGGTCTGTCTTTGCTCTGCTCCTGTTTTGTTTTGTTTTATGGGCTTTGATATACTGTTCGTGATTTCCATATCCTTCATGCATTACCTCTTTCACTGTATGATGTAGTTATATCATTATATTATGTACATCTTTCATTATATGAGGTATTTTTATCATTATATGAAGTGCTTTTAACATTAAATGTTTTAGTTCTAACATTGTATGCAGTGAACACAATATATAATGTACTTTTCACATTATGAACAGTATATTCATCATTATATACTCAGCAATAAAAGAAACGCATATTGATTTACTCATCAAAGAAATTTTTAAAAAGTATATGGAACAACTACCTGTGATCTATTTTACCCCTTCCATGGCAAGGATTTTTTAAAAGCATTTCAAGACAAATTGGTATTAAGATTTCAATGTATTTTTGGGGCATTTCTTGGAATTTTTGTATACACCAATGTATAAATATTCTGAAAGGAGGTATTGCATAGTTTCTGAAAATAACTATGAAAATATCATTTCAGTTGTCATTGCAAAGAAATACACCATAATTATGCTATAATTTCCATTTATTAAAGAATGATTTTTATTCTAGGTTTTTTGCTAAGTTTAATATATTAAAAAATATTTTATTGTTATATTGAAAAATATTAGCATCTTTTACATTTTTTCTTTACAAACCAATTTTAAGTATTTTACGGGGATGAGGTTGGTTTCTACATATAACGTGTTACCCGGGCATTGATTTCGATAATGGGAAAATCGCTCAACTAGTGCACAAAGTTTAACTAAAGCTAGCAAAATACTGCTACAACAAATAGAATTTTTTGTATATCATTTAAGTATTTTCTCTTTCCATCAGTGTAAGATTTATTTTGATATTTCCAGTATTAACGAAGGTATGAATGTTTTTCACATTATACTTGTTTTACAAGTCAGATGCGTAGAAATGCGTATATGCCATGTAAGGGGACAACATAGGGTTTTAAAACATAAGTGTTGAATTAATTCCCTTGATTAATCATGTTTATAAAAACAGTGTTTCGGGAGTCCATTTTCATTGATATTTTGGATTGAGAAGAACAATAAACACTGTTATTAAACCCAGATTTAGGATTTGATTGGAATGTTGATGCTGCAATGCCACGCCTTATCAAAGGTGAACGCAACTGGGCTTACGATGATGATAACCTGAGCTATACAACAGGAGGTTGCAACTGCATTTGGTGTACATCAATTGGCATAACAGCGGTTAAACATACGTCTCCACCAGCAGGGAACATGGATGACAGACCAAGAACTGACCATCAACGGGTTACTACACCCAGAAAGGACCGTCAGACCCTCCTTCAGCAATCGATTTAGAACTACGGCACAAACTGCACTACAATTACTGGTTAAAAAATCAGCATAAAATTGCACAAATTGTTTACAAGAGACTGAGAGGAGCTGGTATTAGTCCACGGTATCCGTACATTGGAAATCCACTAGCGCTGAGACGTCGCAAAGTACATATTGTTATGCCCCTAGAATTGTGGCCGATGAAAATGACATCAACTTAACTTTTCAATTCGCAACAGAGGACTTGTTTGATTTTTTATCACAGCACACTCTAAAATCATTTTTAAAAAAATAAGGTTTAAACCGAAAACTTATATTTTCCTGCTTAATCTGAATATGCGTTTCTTTTTTGTTGAGTATTTGTAGTATTCCTGTCATGATGATGATCGTTAAGTATTATATCTGGTCATGTTAGCATTCTGTGCAGTAAATTTTGCATTTCGTAATGATGTAGACAAAGTATCATATGCGGTGCTTCCTTCTTTATGACGATAATCTTTGGGAAACTACCATTCGGAACTCTCTCTTTAAAATTTGATTCTTCTTTTAACCACCTTTGAGATCTACGGACCTTTCCTGTTGAACTCAGTACAATAAAAGCATGCATATATACATTAAAGCAGTAAATGATTAATGCTCAGGTTAAAATGTGAACAGGTTAAAATGTTTTAAAGGTATTTTTAAAAGAATTTAGTAGAGTAAAATAAAATCCATTTTATTTCATGCTATGACCAGAGGAGAAGGAAGGGGGTTGTTGGATATGATAGAAATATTTTCTATATTTTTGTGAACAATATGGCATTTGAAAAGATTCATTTCATATTTTACAGGATATTACAAGTTAGAAAATCTACTTATTCTGATTATAAAACAATATATTTTTGCAAGTAAGTTGCCAAAACTATAAAGTTAAATGTTGAGACTTTGAAAAATGTTATTACTGAAAGAATTAGAGTATAAAAAATTCTTTTGTTAAATTGTAAATACGATGAATTTGAAAGACACTGGGCGGAAATAGTTGAAAAACTTTTAAAATTTTTCTTACCGTTACTTATTCAATAAAATGTGTGCCCCCATCTGTCTCTTTCTCTCTCCCCCCTCTCTCTCTCTACATAAACTTCCACACTAGTTTTAATTACCTCTTTTTTTTTTGCTCCATTTCAAACTGTCTTCTATATTTATTTACTTATATGTCTCTTTTGTGTTCCTGTAATTTGTGTGAAAGTAAAAATAAAATCTTAAAAATTACACGAAACATCAGAGGTGAGATCAGGTGTCATGGAGGAGCGAGCATCCCCTGCCATGTGCTCCATGTCATGATTGGGAAATAACGGAAAATACGTCTTCAATTCAGTGTATAAACAAGAGGCCTATGGGCCACATCGCTCACCTGAGTTGCTTGGGTGATGTAATTCTTTACCAGGTTTCCCCTCTTGCTATACCTATTGTGCCCCTACCCCCTCCCCTTTCATGATTTAAGTACTTTAGAATCTACACTACCCAAGGATGCTTCCACGTAAGCTTCAGCTTTCCTGGCCCAGTAGTTTTTGAGAAGAAGAATCGTGAATACAATATATATCTATGTAAAACTTAAATTTCCTTAATGTGGCCCCACCCTACCGCCCGGGGTCATGATTTTAACAATCTAATATCTACACTACCCAAGGATGCTTCCACATAAGTTATAGCATTCCTAGCCAAGTGGTTCTTGAGAAGAAGATTTTTAAAAATTTGTTCTATATATTTC